AAAAACGTTAAAAGTTGAACTACCGTAAAGAAACGTAAGATACATCACATCAATCATTAAATAAAATATCGACAAAATATAGGCATTAAAGGGATTAATTGCAACAAATCTTCACAAGTTAAGAAAGAAAATATAAACCTTCTATAATTTTATGGATTCTTGATAAACTCAAATATAATTAGAATACTAAACTTTCCGAAAATATAATATGGTTGTTACAGGTGGAATTTGGAAAGTGTTTGCCAAACTACAAGGTGATTATAAAGAATGTTTCGCAGTTCTGTGCATCATATCTCACAAACAATATGGCATAAGAAAGTGTAATTATGAAGAGATGTTATGGTTATCATACAGATGCAAACACATGTGCCAGTGTGGTTTCTTTCGCATATTTCCTCATTCAACCAACATGAAACTAACAAGTATGCTGAGGAGTGAGTTGGTGAAATGTTATTACATGAAGGGATGCAATGCCGATGCAGTTCTCAGGAAACACCACAGGGTGAGTAAGTTCTGCAGAGGACATTGTTCCAGTGTTGCTGTGTGCAACTTCATTAAAAACTTTGAGGAGACAAGTTGTACTTCTGACAAACCATGCACAGACAAACCACTAGCATCTACTGAAACTATCACTGAAATCATTAATGCTATAGCAGAACAATCTGGCACAAGGAGGCAACAGTGCATTTTATATAACTCGGTGTCTGGATTTGCCTATATCAACTGCTCATTAGGCCCTTTTATCAACTTTTCAAATGTTTCCTTACAAGTTGCATCATGTTCAAGTATTGAAGGAGATTTTGCATTGCAGTTCTTGGCAAGACTTGAAATTGATGACCAGCTGCCTGCCAATATCCAATGGACTGGCAAAGCACACTTTACCCTTTCTGTAAGTGTTACTTTGCACAACTGCACCATCTGGTCAAAAACTAATTCATATATAACGATTCTTACACACCTCCATGATGGTAAGGTGACAGTATCGTGTAATTTTTCATAACTAACTTTGTTATTATGCCATACTTTTTTGAAGAATCTTCAGCACATATACTGCAAATTTGCACAGTCAATGCTGCACTTTACCATGCAATGCTCACAACCAATGTAATTCCCATACTGTGCAACAAAACGTGATAGATACTACACTTTTCGTGCAGGAAGGTGTCCCTCTACGCATTGGTAACCAAGTGAAACATCTTTTGGGAGCACTTTCGAGACAGAATCATTAGTAGTTATACTGCCAAACCTGTAAATAAAAGATGCTAGCAAAAGAGTAGGTAGTTCCAAAGTGTATCACAAGGGACAAATAGTTCCAAAGTGTGATATTAAGGGAGAGGAGATCATCTATGGGGTGTGAAAAGATATTTTTCATGTGGTTCATGAATGTCAAGATATATCACGTTATACAAAAATACTTCTATTTAATCTCTATAGTTCTTAACACAATATTAGTTACTGCATTATCATTAGGGTCAATTCTACAGATTCACTTCATCATCAATAATGAAGCACTCTGAATACTTAAAAATAATATTATTTCAGTAAGCACGGTAGTGATTTGTATGTAGGGGTGTGCCGGGAAAATATGGCCGTCACATATTATGTATTGCTCATCATAGTCTCAAATCTCTCTTATAACGATCTAAGATACTTTTATAAACACCTAACTTAGGTTTTAGAGGTTTTCAAAAGCTATTAAGACTTTCAGTTTAGCCAAAAAACATCACTAAAGTAGAGAACCGGCGAGTAGTGTAACGGCCAAATATTCTGCTGATTATTCTCATTCTGGCATCAGAAGGGCTAGCTTATCAATAATTAAAGTTGTTGTGATAACTTACACACTAAAACGTTGCATTTTAACTCGAGGTGCGCAGAAGCAGTATAACGGTTCACTAACTTCCACAAATGATGTCCATCAATACAACTCATCATGCCAGGCTAAAACTGCTGCCTTTATAGCGACTGCCATTCATTATAAAATATTCATTGGTATTGTTAAAAAAAAGGGATACAAGTAATAAAACTAATTTTGAAAAAAAAAACTAAAATGGATGTAGGAATGGCAATGCCAAACCCATACAAAAATCCCTACATAAGTAGCCACTGAGTCAATGTTACAAACTAATGGGAATTAGCCATTGTAAGACTCTATAGCATTATTCAGTGTAAATGCTTTTATTCAAACCTGAATTCATGCAAATGAAAGGAATTCAACATTTAGTTGTGGATAAAGTTTTTCTTGGAAAGATTTGGCTACTTATGTAGGGATTTTTGTATGGTTTTGTGTATTCATCCATACCTTGTTTCTGTAGTTTTTGGCACTGTCATCCTCATATCATCCCTATTTTTTTTCTAAAAAATTTTTGTATTACTTGTAGAATGTTTCTATCACTGGTTGAAGTATTTTCTAAGCCAGTTGTTTCTATTCTTGTGATTATTCAATAGTAGAAAATATATATTAAAATCCTAGTACAAATATTAACACATATTTTGACAGTCTCAAAAATAGAAAAGGAAAGAAAGAAGGAAATAAGAATACAGACAAAACGTGTGTCATAACCTACTTTTTTAACTGATTTATGAAAATTTATGCAGGGGTTTAGAATTTATATTATCCAATGCAAGGGACAATAAGTTTTATCACTATACTTTGTTACTAAACACTTTTTTGTTACATCATTCACTCTATTGCTAGAAAAGCACTCCAGGGTAGATTTCTAAAGAACCATGCAAATTCCCGATAACTATGAACTGCAAAAGTCTAGCATGTGAATACAAATGCTTAAAAATTTGTAACCCCTAAACTCCAAACCACACAAACATACATATCCCTTTAATTCTCAAACCTCCAGTATCACATATAGAAATAAACATATTTGAATTAATGCAACAATATTATTACAATCATTTTGCATACAATACAAACTCAGTAATTTAACTACCAGTTCTAGAAAGAATAAATAATATAATAAAAATTACAAATCCTAACAACTAAATGTAAAAAACCCATAAAATACATGAATGAACATATATGAAGAGTTTAGCTGCAACACTTTGTTTATGTCTTTACCAATAAAACTGAGCTGCCAATGATATTATTGGAGTTTTCAAAAGCATTTCAAAACTGGGATGAAATACCCTTGAAATACCTTTGAAATTTAAGGATGAACACAAATTATTAGTGATAAAGTTGGTAATATTACCAATGTCCTTGTAACAATTATGCCTTGCTATCATATAATTTTGATCGGGATGGTTGGAAAAATGTAGCTGAAACAGGAAAAGTTGCCAATTTTAATCACATGTATATGTGATCATAAAGTACAAATAATTACGAACCCAAATATGTATCCTTCAGTCTAACTAACAGGCTGATTGCCAATTAAAGTTCATTTTCAATGGTGCAACAAGAACAGCTCATAATCAATGATTGACTGCCTTACAAACAAGCTGCTTCATAATTTCATTAAACCGCGTATCTTTTGGTTGCAAACTGAGTAGGTATAAATACCATACTAATCAGAGGTGACTAATTGCCTTAATCATCTCTTTGACAGCTCACTGACAAATATGCTAATCAATTCAATATCACTCATTTCATTGATGGTTGCATTGACTGAGGTATTTGCACAGACAGTAAATCACATGACATCCATAAGCTCAGCTATTTATTACATGTATACTATGTGTATATATACCTAACATCCAACTCAATAGAAAAATGTGTTTGATACTGAAGGTTCTTTACAGATAGTGACAGCATTATAACACTAAAACTAATGCATTTTTTACTTTCTTCATGCATGTGAACAAAACATTTTGTGCATGAAGGTGTCCATAAAATGTAATTTTATTGTGTGAACTCAAAAATCTGTACATGAAATAGTTAAGGTTCTAGATTATCAAGAACCTCTGTTGCATTGATTAATATGCAGCAACTGGACTAAAAAAGCCTCTGGACATAAAGCATTTTGTTATAAAATGAAATAGATTTTGTAAAATTTCAGGAGTGCAAGCATGTTTTTATGAAAGAAAAATACATTTTTCTAGCATTCTGTCCTTTGGACAATAATGTTTTTCTAAAGTTCTACACACCTTTCAGACTCATCTTTTTAAAATAATGTTTGCCTTTTTTTATGATGCCAATTATCCAAATAAAATTAACTTTGTTTATCCATATCTCAGGCTTCCAAATAAAAGCTTAATCTGAAAAGCTAATACAACTCTATCTATGTGTGGATCCTACTTCTGCAGATACTTTGGTTTTGTTGTTTACCTTTCTCATGGTTGGGTGTGCAAGTACAGCCTTTAAGGCTGTACATAGGTTATGTTATAATATGAATTGTATTAACATTTTTGTTATATGTTCTGCAGAGTTGCAGTGAAAAATTAATCAAACAACTTTATTATCATTGTATGCCAATAAACTTAGCATGAAAATTTAGTTTTCTGTATCCCATGATGTGTCTAAGCTCCAATTTATCCAGTTCATAATTTTCAAAAATACACTGCTACAGTTTTTTCCACCCTATTAGAAACACAAATTAACATAATTATAGGAAAGAATCTACAATTTGCACCTTCTATCATTTTGACTTTCTGAGATATGAATGAATTTGTCAAAGCCACCAGAAAAATCTCTCTTTCTCTGACTTTCAAGATTGTTTTGCTAATCAACTATACACAGCTGAGGAACTTGTTTTTAACCAATAGGAATGCAGATTCTCCTCTACATAAAACTCATTACAGCTATTTGATTTTGTCACTAGTAAATTTTGTTTATTGAATTTTGCACAAAGCTACTCAAAGGCCATCTGTGGTAATCATGCCTAATTTAGAAATAGTAGACTACAGGGTAGGCAACTATTCAACCTCACCCACCACCAACTCTTGGGCTACTCTCTTACTCATGAAAAGTGGGATTAACTGTCAAATTATAGCACTGCCACAGCTGAAAGGGCAAGCTTGTTCAGTGATGGGATTTGAACTCCTACCCACAGATTACAAATTGAGTGTCCTAACTACTAGGTTATGTCAGGCCCCAGAAATCACAGAATAATGGTCTGTCAAATTTTTTTTTGTGTGTGATCAATGTATTCCTTTCTGAAATATCTCATGGAATTTTTTAACCTATTGACAGCTTACTTAAAAAGCCAGATAAATTAATATAGTTTTCAAGCATTCTTTCCAGAGACTGAAATATTTTTTGTTCTAAAACCAATACTTGGAAGCTACATGAATCATTTATTATGCATTCAAACTTCTGAGACTCAAGTATACAGCAAGTACTACAAATCCTTGTTTTATGTATATCTATATATTATTATATATTTTTTAACAAAAGTAACCAAAGTTTAAAAATTAGAAACTTTCCAGCTTAGCCTACCAAACCTCAGTAAAATAAAATGTGTAAAATTTCACAAACTAAAGTTTAAGCATAGTAAGTGTACATTTCACACACTATTTATGGTACATCTACTGGGCTCACATTGTGACTTATTGCTTGCGATGAGAGAATTATTGCTCCAGTGGGTACAAAGTAAAGTAATAAAACCATAAAATTAAAAGAAAAGTTAAGATAAGTAACTTGGATATTTCTGATCAATAATGCAGTCAATGCATGGGGGGGAAAAATTTTAAGACTGGAGAAAATAAGAGATAAAATATAAAGTTTTAACTGAAAAAAATACACATGAAACTATTCATATCGAGTATGGTAGTACTTAATAGTAGGGATCTTGATGAAACAAAATAGCAGCCATAAAAATCACCCATAGGTTGGTAGAGATCCTGATGAGTAATAATACATCGAACAGGGTATATGCATGCCCCAAGCTTGGTATTGGTGGCACACACAAAAAATAGATAATAAAAAGGAAACAATTACAATAAAAAAGAATTTTAATTTTATAAAAACAAGTAGATATCAATATACATGTAACCTAGCTAGTTATAATAATATAAAAAGTTTTAATGCTACAAAAAGTATTGAAATAAGAAAGTCAACTACAAAAATTAGTTACTTGAGATTTAAAAAAATGTTATCCCTATTTTGACAAATCTTTGTAATTATGCTAGTTTGAGCCAAAATAAGAATACATTTTTTAAATTTTACATATCTCAGTTTTTGTATTGTGACTTTCTTGTTCATTTAGAAAGTCCTAGAGGTTACACAAATGAAATATGGAAACTGTAATGTGAATATAAGAATTATTTATCTCGTAGCATAAAAATCACCTTTCACTCAAACTGATTCAGTAAAGGTTTTATAAATTGACAGATATATCTTTAATAAAAATATTTTTAAAAAAATCTGATTTTTGAATATAACAGACTTGCTGCATTTTGTAAAGACGCATTTACAACATTTAACGGTATAGTGTGTATAGTTTCATGGTTATGCGGTTATAAGGTCGGTCAAAATGACTGAGCCCATATACGAGAGTTAAAAGAAGCTGGTGGCAAGAACTTTATTGAAATTATAAGATCACTTGGCTCTCAAAAGTTTTTCCACATTATGTTTCTACAAGAGAAAATATTTACAATATTCTTGACCCTTATCTTCTATAGGAAACACTGGAATTGACCTCAATCATGTAGGTATTAATCCCTTGGTGCTATGTGGAAAGGCCAAGAGATTAAAAATAGATAAAACACCAGGATAAATTTTTCCCAGGCTCTTAGAGGAGGTCAAAAATCAGATATGCAACTCTCTCTTGAATTTTTTCAAAATTCAACAGACAGAGAGCACGTGCTTGAGGACTGGAGAATTGCTAATGTTTGTCCTATTTTTAAGTGAGTGATAAGAGTTGCATTGGAAATAAATAGGTCATTTAGCCTTACTTATGTAGAGTAAAAAATTCAAGTGAATTTGATAAAAGGAGCTTTATAAAATTAATGAGTGAACCGACATGGATTCATCAGAAAGAAATCTTGCTCTACTAGCCTAACATTGTTTGAGAATATTACTTGTTATTTGTAAGGTGCATAAAAGTTGAGAGACATCAAAAAAATATGTTACTAACTCTCCTACTATGTGCTCAGTTGATTTGAGGTAGTTTGTGACCTCAAATTGAACTTTAGAGTTTCCATACTATAACTTTTAATAGGTTTTGAGCATCTTCATGAAATTTTGCAAGATTTTAGTAAACATTATAAGTTTTTTGTACACAAAAAAATCAGAATTTTTAATGACGTATATTTACCAGAAATTTTTCCATGAACATACAAAGTCAAAGTATTGACTGCTCTGAATGCAAAGTGATTTTCATGTTAAGATTAAAAATATTTTCTTCATCTGAAAATTGTCAAATTTCATTTGAATAATCTCTAAAACCTCCTACATAAATATCAAACTTTTTTCAGTAAAACTTTATATTTCATCTGTTATTTTCTCTATCCTAATTCTATATGCATTCTGACCAACCTCATAACTACCATAAATATAAATTACCCCCCCCCCTCCATTTCTCTTTCAAGAACGACTGCAAATTGTAACAGGAAACTACATTTACAAAAAAGAAACCTATCATTCTATAGTTATTTGAAGAACTTGTAGCATTCTGCCACAATTTAATTCTTCATAGTATGCTTGGTTTGGTCTGAAGTTTCATTGGTGGTAGTGTCCAGGGTCACTGATGAGGAGTGTAATTCTCTGAAACTAGTCTGGCTCACAGAAACACCCCCAATGAAAGAATAGACCATTACAAGCTTTTACTTGTTGTTAAACAAATGTTTAAACAACCCTATTCAATTATGTACCAGCTGCTTAGTGTTGGCCAACAATACGAAGAATTAACTTGTGGCAGAATGCTACAAGTTCTTCAAATACCTATAGAATAATAGGTTTCTTTTTTGTGAGTGTAAAACACTTAAATATACCATTGCGATTTAGGAAACTACATTTGTTTATCCTAAATAGCTTAAAGCTCATAACAGTCTACATCTGTTTATACTTAATTTTATGATTTTATTACCATATCTAACTGCTAATCTTGTCACAAATTGTAAGTCACTCAGCAAACACATAGCTCACATTACTATATTGAATGATATACAACATCAGCTGCTCACAAATATACTTTGTGATGAAGTTTTTTATTTTTTTACATTATCTCATCTAACCAAACAAGTTTCTAATTTTTACATTTTAGTTACTGTTATAGTAATAGATAAAGAATATCCATGAAAAACAAGAAATATAGTACTTACCTTCAACCTTTTGTTTTTTTGCTGTCAGTTGCAGATGAAATTTAAGTCACTAATACTAATGGTACTAGTATACTATATATAGTACTTGGTCACTTTCACAACATGCCTAAGAATGCAGGATAACAACACATGTAAATTAACAATGTCCTATAACTATAATAATTTAATTGGCTTGCTAACTAAAGCATAGTCTTAAAATAATTATGTAAGCTTCTCAATTTGAACACCTGCAGAGAAACTTTCAAAATGAAGATGATATAGACAATACTCTGTACCAAACACAACTTAATACAATATGCCATATGATAGATTAAAACTTTGTCTTTCTATTAGTTATAAATAACATAGTATAAAACATCACAGAGAACTACTGGCAATTTGTGAAAAAAAAAGAGGATGTGACAGCTGGGCATAACAAGTGGGTCTGACTTTCTAATTTATGACAGTAAATGAATAAGACTGAAGACTATAAAAGTTAGGCTTTGTCTTAGTAATATCTATATTATGTTATATTCTGTACTTCAGAAAGGGAAAGACCTACATAGCCCCCACAACTTAACCACACCAATTTTTTTCTGAAGCCTAGGAGTGTTCTAAAAATATAATAAAAATATAAAAAATAATAGGAAAAAAAAAGGGATGCAATACACATTTAACACTTATATATTAGGATACCCTAAAATCACGTTGACGCTCGTTGATGCTGACTGAGATTCAATGACCACTATATAATCATCCACTCTGGACCTCAAACCTATCCTATTGTACCATATTATATATATATATATATATATATATATATATATAACAAATAAAGTATATATATAA